ATTCGTTCCGGAGGTCAGAAAAAAGACTTACCTGTTCAAAACTCTTCATAAAGCACACTTTAAAGGCATAAAGGGTTGTGGAGGTCAGAAAAAAAGTCAAAGAAAGTCTCATCTGTTCAAAACTCTTTATAAAGTGCACTTTAAAGGCCTAAATACTATACAGGGACATGATTAAAAAAAATTTGTAAATGCATTGAAAACCAATCAATCCCTTTGTATTGCACAAAAAATTCATAAACCGAGCCGTTATTTTCAATGGATTTTCATTCGTAAACCGTAAATTACGTTAACCAAGGCGTGTGTGTGTAAAAATAAATCTTGCAAGTGCAGATATATACTGTACAGGGGCGGACTGACCATTTGGAAACTCTGGCACTGCCCGAGGTCAGTAGGGGGCCCCATGAGATGCCCCTGGTACCTTTTTCATAGGCTTTTTTGAGTGTGGGCAAGGACACAGGGGCCCCATGATCCCCTATTGCCCGGGGGCCCCATGAGTTGTCAGTCTGCCCCTGATACTGTACCTACCCTATTCAACACCTAACAGTCCGTGAAAAGAGATAAAATGCAGCGCACTGCCTTATAAATACTGACTGAATATTACCCCACACTGCAAAAAATTATTATATAATAATGACATACTACTAAAATCTACACTATATTGCCAAAAGTATTGGTCGGCCGGCCTTTCCACGCAAATGACCTTTAATGGTCCCCCAGTCTTGGTCCGTAGGATTCAATATTGAGTTGGCCCCGCCCTTTGCAGCTATAACAGCTTCAACTCTTCTGGGAAGGCCGTCCACAAGGTTTAGGAGGGTGTCTATGGGAAGGTTGGACCATTCTTCCAGAAGCACATTTGTCAGGTCAGGCACTGATGTCGGGGGAGGAGGCCTGGCTCACAGTCTCCGCTCTAATTCATCCCAAAGGTGTTCTGTGGGGTTGAGGTCAGGACTCTGTGCAGGTCAGTCAAGTTCCTCCACCCCAAACTGGCTCCTCCATGTCTTTATGGACCTTGCTTTGTGCACTGGTGTGCAGTCATGTTGGATCAGTTAGGTAGCAGAGGGGGTTGTTAATCAGTTTCCGCTGCTTTGGTGTTAATGAAATAAACAACAGGTGCACTAGATGGGCAATAATGAGACGACCCCCAAAACAGGAATGGTTTTACAGGTGGAGGCCACTGACATTTTTTTCCCTACTCCTCTTTTCTGACTGTTTTTCTCTAGTTTTGCATTTGGCTAGGGTCAGTGTCACTACTGGTAGCATGAGGCCATACCTGGACCCTACAGAGGTTGCACAGGCAGTCCAACCCCTCCAGGATGACACATCAATATGTGCCATTGTCAGAAGGTGTACTGTGCCTCCCAGCACAGTCTCAAGAGCATGGAGATGATTCCAGGAGACAGGCAGTTACACTAGAAGAGCAGGACGGGGCCGTAGAAGGTCCTTAACCCATCAGCAGGACCGGTATCTGCTCCTTTGTGCAAGGAGGAACAGGATGAGCCCTGCCAGAGCCCTACAAAATGACCCCCAGCAGGCCACTGGTGTGAATGTCTCTGACCAAACAATCAGAAACAGACTTCATGAGGGTGGCCTGAATGCTCTAGTCCTCTAGTGGGCCCTGTGCTCACTGCCTGGCACCATAGAGCTTGATTGGCATTTGCCATTGAACACCAGAATTGGCAGGTCCACCACTGGCCCCCTGTGCTTTTCACAGATGAGAGCAGGTTTCCCCTGAGCACATGTGACAGACGTGAAAGGGTCTGGAGAAGCCATGGAAAATGTTATGCTGCCTGTAACATGGTTCAGCATGACCGTTTTGGTGGTGGGTCAGTGATGGTCTGGGGAGGCATATCCATGGAGGGACGCACAGACCTCTACAGGCTAGACAATGGCACCCTGACTGCCATTAGGTATCGGGATGAAATCCTTGGACCCATTGTCAGACCCTACACTGGGGCAGTGGGTCCTGGGTTCCTCCTGGTGCAGTGGGTCCTGGGTTCCTCCTGGTGCAGTGGGTCCTGGGTTCCTCCTGGTGCAGACAATGCCTGGCCTCATGTGGGGAGAGTATGCAGGCAGTTCCTGGAGGATGAAGGAATTGATACCATTGAATGGCCCCACGCTCGCCTGACCTAAATCCAATAGAACTCCTCTGGGATGTCATGTTTCGGTCCATCCAACGCCACCAGGTTGCACCTCAGACTGTCCAGGAGCTCAGTGATGCCCTGGTCCAGATCTGGGAGGAAATCCCCCAGGACACCATCCGTCATCTCATTAGGATCCTCCCCCGACATTGTCAGGCATTCATACAAGTACGTGGGGGCCATACAAACTCCTGAGGACCATTCTGAGTTGCTGCAATGAGATTTCAGCAACATGGACTCGCCTGCTGCATCATCTTTTCACTTTGATTTTCGGGGTGTCTTTGAATTCAGTCCTCTGTAGGTCAATCATTTTCATTTCCATCAAACGATGGGACATCCTTACGTTTCTAACACATTACCCCGTCCATGTCAGTATAGAGATCCAGCAGAAAATGTGTCCTCATTGAGATCTGATGTGTTTTCAAAGTGTTTTTAATTTTTTTTGAGCTGTGTGTGTGTGCATATATATATATATATATATATACAGCAACTCAATGCATTTAGGCATCTAGACATGGTGAAGATGACTTGCTGAAGCATCAGAATGGGGAAGAAAGGGAATTTAGGTGACTTTGAAAATGAGCATGGTTGTTGGTGCCAGACGGGCTGGTCTGAGTATTTCAACAACTGCTGATCTACTGGGATTTTCACACACAACCATCTCTGGGGTTTACAGAGAATGGACAGAAAAAGAGAAAATATCCTGTGAGCAGCAGTTGTGTGGACGACAATGCTTTGTTGATGTCAGAGGTCGGAGAAAATGGGCAGACTGGTTCCAGATGATAGAAAGGCAACTGTAACTAAAATATTCACTTGTTACAACCAAGGTATGCAGAATACCATCTCTGAACGCACAACACGTCAACTCTTGAAGCAGATGGGCTACAGCAGCAGAAGACCATACCGGGTGGCACTCCTGTCAGCTGAGAACAGGAAACGGAGGCTATAGTTCACACAGGCTCACCAAAATTGGACAATAGAAGTTTGGAAAAACATTGCCTGGTCTGATATCTCAATTTCAGCTGTGACATTCAGATGGTAGGGTCAGCATAGGCAACTTGAAAGCATGGATCCATCTTGCCTTTTATCAACGTTTCAGGTTGGAGGTGGTGTCATGGTGTGGGGGAGATTTTCTTGGCATGCTTTGGGCCCCTTAGCGGTAGGGTCAGCATAGGCAACTTGAAAGCATGGATCCATCTTGCCTTGTATCAACGGTTCAGGCTGGTGGTGGTGTCATGGTGTGGGGGAGATTTTCTTGCCATGCTTTGGGCCCCTTAGGACCAGCTGAGCATCTTAAAAATACCACGGCCTACCTGAGTATTGTTGCTGACCATGTCCATCCCTTTATGACCAGTGTCCCCATCTTCTGATAGCTACGTCCAGCAGGATAATGCACCATCTGCCAAAGCTCAAATCATCTCCAACTGGTTTCTAGAACATGACAATGAGTTCACTGTACTCCAATGGCCTCCAGTCACCAGATCTCCATCCAATAGAGCACCTTTGGGATGTGGTGGAACGGGAGATTTGCATCATGGATGTGCAGCCAACAAATCTTCAGCAACTGCATGATGCTGTCATGTCAATATGGACCAAAATCTCTGAGGAATGTTACCAACACCTTGTTGAATCTATGTCATGAAGAATTAAGGCAGTTCTGAAGGCAAAAGGGGGTCCAACCCGGTACTAGCAAGGTGGACCTAATAAAGGGGCTGGTGAGTGAGTTATTAATACAGATCTGCGTTCAATGTATCGTCTTGATCTGCCTGAAGTTCAGATTTAAACATTTAGTATGAGACCGTTACTATTTTCCTGGTGTTGGTTGGAGTTAAGGCCACAATGTGTCATTAAGACCCACCACATCACTCTACAAAGGACCAGCACTGTGCTCAGAACTTCCTTTCATGTCTGCCGACCATCACATTCTCCTTCATAATTCCAGAATAACAGAGCGGGACACAGCAAAGAGTGAAGATCATTCTAGAATTCATCAAACTGAACATTAACTCCTCAGCCTTGAGTAAAAATGTTTGTTGCCAACGCAAGCTGGTATCGTGGGGATAAAGTCCTCCAGTTCCCTTCTTGGGACCAGTTGCTGAGCACCAGTAGCAAAAACTCCCAAAATCCTGACCTGGACCTCCTCACTGCTCATATCACTAATGAAATATCAATCCCACTTCCCCTGTTCATTGCCAGCAGAAGTCTGGAGTTTTATTCCCAGCTTAGCCCTGAAAATGTTGGGTTTTTGCCCTTGACCTTGATTCTGTCTATATACAATATAGTGGATAGATAGTGTAGAGATGGGCCAGTGCACACACTTGTAGGGGTATCGGCCCGGGTGCAATCCATGAAAAATGAAAAATATGCAGCAGGCAGTAGGTGCCCTTAGCGGGACCTACAACAGAACTAATTTTCCCTCCAGAAGATTAACCCCCCTTCTTGACCAGGCCATTTTTTTTATGCAATATGCCACTGGGTTATTTTAACTGAGAATTGCGTGGTCATGCAACGTTGTACCTAAATGAAATGTATGTCCTTTTTTTTTCTCCCACAAATGGAGCTTTCTTTCAGTGGTATTTGAGCACCTCTGCATTTTTTAAATTTATTTGTGCTATAAAACAAAAAAAAAAACAATATTTTTGACTTTTTGCTATAAAACATATCCAGTGAAAAAATTAAAAAAATCGAATTACTTCATAAATTTAGGCCAAAATGTTTTCTGCTCCGTGTCTTTGCTAAAGAAAAAAAAAAATCCCAATACGTGTAGAGTACTTGGTTTACATGAAAGTTCTTAAGTCTGCAAATGGCGGTATATATACTGGGATTTTTATTATTATTTTTTATACTAGTAATGGTGGTAATCGGCAACTTATAGTGGGACTGCGGCGGCATTCGAATACTGGGGGGGAAATGACTTGGTGTCACTGACATCGCTAGTGACACCAATACAGTGATCAGTACTAATAAAAAGCACTCAAATTGTACTAATGGCACTGGGCAGGAAGGGGTTAACATCTGGGGCAGTCAAAGGGTTAACTCTGTGCTGTTTGGGTTCACATATATGCGGTACAGTATATCGCATGTGATTCGCACAGGAACCGCACCGCATTCCTATGCAAACCACATGCGATTTGTGTGTGTGGTGCACTCGGAGCCGTACATTTTGTCTGGCTCTATTCGCACTGTACCCGCACCAAAAATGTCCAGGATCCTGTTTTGGGTCTGCACTAGAATCGGATTCGCATGGATATTCACACCTATACGATCCGATTCTGCACATCGCACCGCTTGTGCAGACACACCCGCAGCGATTCCCATGAAAATCTGATGCGGTGCAGAATTCACATTGAAAATGCTGCAAGTTCCGCACCGCATCAGTGTGAACTACTAGGGAGACATGCTGTGCAGAGAGATACAAAGCAGCATGTCCTTGCTGGCAGGAGAGAGACCAGGTGTTATTTACAAACAGGTCTCTCCCCTGTCAATGTTACTTGGCGATCACCAGGTGCCAGCGGGGAATCTCCGGCCAGGACCCAGTGATTGACATCCCTAGCCGCCGTTCTCTACCAGGAAATGCAAAATCACGTGTATTTTATATATATATATATATATATATATATATATATATATATATATTATTATTATTATTATACAGTATTTATAAAGTGCCAATAGTTCACTCAGCGCTGTACATTACAGAGGGGGACAGAACATGTGACAGAACAATGCCAATACAATGCAAAACATGAGGGGATCGAGGGCCCTGCTCTTTCGAGCTTACAATCTAGGAGATATATATATATATATATATATATATATATATATATATATGTGTGTGATTTTTGCGTAGCCCTGCCGCCCTGTAGCAGTAGTTCTATTATAGGGTGGCAGGAAAGCCAACATTTTGGCGTTTATATGTATTTGACAGTTTGTATCTATTGTAGGACATTTTGGGTATAGAGACGTTACATCGATGATGTGTGCAGACAGCAGGGTGGATTTTATTTAAATCACTAGTCAGTAAGGCTTGATTTAAATCCTAGTTTTCTACATAAAGACTAATTCTTGCTGGTATAACTTTAATATGCAAGTAATTGAAGATTTTTAGAAAAACAACAACTTTTCATATTAGTTTTTTTATCCCCAGTTTAATAGGTTAATCATTCATATTTGGACAACTTTTCTGTTGTACTTAGGAAGGAGAAAAATAATCATTACCTTAATAATAACAATTTAAATAGATTTATTCATCTGAAACAATAACATTCCAGCATATGTGATTTGCTTAAACATCCATGTTTGTTAACTAATTTGGCTAAACAAAATATATATATTTTCAGAAACTTAGACTGTCAGCCCCTCCCCCTCACACTTAGTTTCAGTTTCACTTTCTTCTTGTGCAGATCTATTCCACTCCAAACAATCAGAAAAATATTGTTTCTATTCTATTCACTGAACTTCTTGAAACTTCGCACTGAAGGGGTTGATTCTGTATTCATAGGTTTGTAGAAGTTAGGATGAAGGTCTTTTTCCTAACTCTGTTCATGTTATAACATTTTTGCTGTGAAGAAGAGGCATGTGATCTCCGCTGAGTCAAATTCAGTTTTGAGAACTGCAAAAGTAAACCAATCATCTGTGATAATATCTTGTAGGCAGAGAAACTGCCCAATAATCTTACAGAAACCTCTGGAAGAGCCTGACATTGTGAATGGATTCATGGAATTTATTTACCAAAACAATTAAACATATACAGCCTTATTCTACATAATTAAAAAACTAATCTTTATTTCATGATGGAATAACCTTTGGATGGTAATATATTTTCCTCAAAAAGCATTTTATTTAAAAAAAATCCGATTTAAATAAAAAAAATCTGATTTTTTTGATTTTTTAAAAAAAATCATTGATTTTTATCCACCCTGGCAGACAGTGACTAGTTATGTCCTTGTTGCAGAGATCAGATACGTGGCGAGCGATTATTTTTCACCTATGATTCCTGTGCTGGAGATGCAGTGCGGGGTATACTCATGCATTCCGTGTTTATATGACGGTGATTTATATTTAATTTTTTTTTTCCGCAGATTGTTTCCTTGGATTGTCTTTTTTTTTTTCCTTTTCCAGCTGTGTGGAGTTGGCGAGGCCCGGCTGCGGCCTGGGGTCACCTCTGCCGTCTGGCCTTGGTGTAGCTATGGGCCCCGGTACCCAGCGGCTGGCATGCGGTCAATTTTTCTCCGGCTTCTGTTTCCGGCTGAAGGTTTTACTTTGCTGGCAAGGACACGGTATAATAAAGCTGCCAATTATACGGATCAGTGGTTTTCAGCTCTGGCATCTCCCGTGTTTAGAGTTTTTGGTGTGCGACTGTTAACTCTTCAGGCGTATTCTAAGGGCTGGGGTGGGGGGAGGGGTTTATCTAAAGCAGGGGTCTCCAAACTTTCAAAATAAGGGGCCAATTTACTGACCTTCACACTTAGGGGGACTGGACTGTGCCCATAGGAGTAAACAATGTCTTGGGGGAGTTGGTGTCAGTGGGAGGAATAGTGCCCCATCATTGGTATCAGTGGGAGGAATAGTGCCCCATCATTGGTATCAGTGGGAGGAATAGTGTCCCATCATTGGTATCAGTGGGAGGAATAGTGTCCCATCATTGGTATCAGTGGGAGGAATAGTGCCCCATCATTGGTATCAGTGGGAGGAATAGTGTCCCATCATTGGTGTCAGTGGGAGGAATAGTGCCCCATCATTGGTGTCAGTGGGAGGAATAGTGCCCCATCATTGGTATCAGTGGGAGGAATAGTGTCCCATCATTGGTATCAGTGGGAGGAATAGTGCCCCATCATTGGTGTCAGTGGAAGGAATAGTGCCCCATCATTGGTATCAGTGGGAGGAATAGCGCCCATCATTGGTGTCAGGGGGAGGAATAGTGCCCCATCATTGGTGTCAGTGGGAGGAATAGTGCCCCATCATTGGTATCAGTGGGAGGAATAGTGCCCCATCATTGGTGTCAGTGGGAGGAATAGTGCCCCATCATTGGTATCAGTGGGAGGAATAGTGTCCCATCATTGGTATCAGTGGGAGGAATAGTGCCCCATCATTGGTATCAGTGGGAGGAATAGTGTCCCATCATTGGTATCAGTGGGAGGAATAGTGCCCCATCATTGGTGTCAGTGGAAGGAATAGTGCCCCATCATTGGTATCAGTGGGAGGAATAGCGCCCCATCATTGGTGTCAGGGGGAGGAATAGTGCCCCATCATTGGTGTCAGTGGGAGGAATAGTGCCCCATCATTGGTGTCAGTGGGAGGAATAGTGCCCCATCATTGGTATCAGTGGGAGGAATAGTGCCCCATCATTGGTGTCAGGGGAGGAATAGTGCTCCATCATTGGTGTCAGTGGAAGGAATAGTTCCCCATCGTTGGTGTCAGTGGAAGGAAATAGTGCCCCATCATTGGTGTCAGTGTAAGAATAGTGCCCCATTGTTGGTGTCAATGGTGTCAGTGGGAGGAATAGTGCCCCATTGTTGGTGTCCCCAGTGGAAGGAATAGTGCCCCATTGTTGGTTCCAGTGGAAGGAATAGTGCCCCATCATTGGTGTCAGTGGAAGGAATAGTGTCCCATCATTGGTGTCAGTGGGAGGAAATAGTGTCCCATCATTGGTGTCAGTGGGAGGAATGGTGACCCATCATTGGTGTCAGTGGGAGGAATAGTGCCCCATCATTGGTGTCAGTGGGAGGAATAGTGCCTCATCATTGGTGTCAGTGGGAGGAATAGTGCCCCATCATTGGTGTCAGTGGGAGGAATAGTGCCCCATCATTGGTGTCAGTGGGTCAGGAATAGTGCCCCATCATTGGTATCAGTGGGAGGAATAGTGCCCCATCATTGGTGTCAGTGGGAGGAATAGTGCCCCATCATTGGTATCAGTGGGAGGAATAGTGCCCCATCATTGGTGTCAGTGGGAGGAATAGTGCCCCATCATTGGTGTCAGTGGGAGGAATAGTGTCCCATCATTGGTGTCAGTGGGAGGAATAGTGCCCCATCATTGGTGTCAGTGGGAGGAATAGTGCTTCAAGGGCCAGATAAAGGCAAGCAAAGGGCCACAGTTTGGAGACCACTGATCTAAAGCTATTGGGGTTCACGTGGCCCTGTCAGTGTTTGCTCAGCAAAGTACATACACCGATCAGCCATATAACTTTACGACTTCTGACAGGTTAAGTGAATAACATTTGATTTTTTCTGGTTATATTGGCATCTGAAAGTGGATGGAATATATTAGACAGCGAGTGAACATGTTGTCTCTGAAGTTGCATTGAAAGCAGAAAAAAATGGACATCGCAGTTTGCTGTGTATGGGGTTCTGTAGCCGCAGACCGGTCAGGGTGCCCAGTACTGACCACAGCCAAAAGTCCCTACAATCTGTATGCTGCCACTGTGTCCAGTGCAATGTGGTTACAGCCTTTCACCGGTAAAGCAGGCCTGCCAGTCTTTGTTCTGGCATCATCCAGGGTCACCATCTACTTCCTCTACTGGGATGTCGGTTCAGTCATGTACTAAATCTTGGTCCCTATCCAGTTGTTTGCCTCGTTCACAAATGTGTGACACAGATCAGCCCCTGCTAGATCCCCTGTCTGACTACAAAGGGCTCTGGTGACGCACCCTCGAAACGCGTAAGTGTCTCGGATCCTGGACGGCGTTGGGTCCACTTGGGTCTTTACATCAATTGTGCCACGAATGTTGGTTTCACGGGCCCCATATCCTTTGTGTTTGTATGTTTTTTTAGCTCTTCATACTACCTATAGACCCACGGGGATAATGCGCTAGGCTGGTGCACCTTTCTTTTTTTTTTGATTCTTTGCAGTACTGCTGGTCTTCCCCAGTCGTAGGAGGGCAGCAAGGCCTCAATATCCCTGGATGTGGGTTCATAGGGGATCCTGTCGATCACCCTGGTCCATCGCACCCACACACAGGGGCCACTGTTTCATTTTGTTATCTGACTACAAAGCAACAATGGCCACTGGGGTAGAGGAGACTGAGGATATGCTCCCTTCTGCCTGCAGCAGACTGATGACATCAAGTCTAAGCAAAGTCACTGAATGGAGATCAAGCACTTTTTTTTTTATTTAATAAAAATTTGAAATTTTAGGAAAAAAATGATCTAGTTTCTGTATGTCAGAAGCAGTAGATCGGAGCAGTAGATCCCTCTCAGAAAAATAGACCCCCCAGCAACAATAGACCCCACCACAACAGTAGATGCCCCCCAGGGACAATAGATCCCCGTGAAGTAGTCCCCCCCCCCAGCAACATAGACCCCCACAACAGTAGATGCCCCCAGGGACAATAGATCCCCGTGAAGTAGTCCCCCCCAGCAACATAGACCCCCACAACAGTAGATGCCCCCAGGGACAATAGATCCCCGTGAAGTAGTCCCCCCCAGCAACATAGACCCCCACAACAGTAGATGCCCCCAGGGACAATAGATCCCCGAGAAGTAGATCCCCCAGCAACAATAGACCCCCATCAACAGTAAATGCCCCCAGGGACAATAGATCATTGCAGCAACAAGAGATGCCCCTCAGCAACACTTAATCTCTCCCAGGAACAAAAAATGTCCCCAGAAACAATAGATCCTCCTACAGCAGCCAGCAATAACAGACCCCCAACAGTAGTTCCCCCCAGCAACAATAGACCCCCATCAACAGTAGATTCCCCCCAGGGACAATAGATCCCCGATAAGTAGATCCCCCAGCAACAATAGACCCCCACAACAGTAGATGCCCCCCAGGGACAATAGATCCCCCCGAGAAGTATATACCCCCCAACAATAGACCCCCACAACGGTAGATGCCGCCCAGGGACAATAGATCCCCACGAAGTGGATCCCCCCCCCAGCAACAATAGACCCCCATCAACAGTAAATGCCCCCAGGGACAATAGATCATTGCAGCAACAAGAGATGCCCCTCAGCAACACTTGATCTCTCCCAGGAACAAAAATTGTTCCCAGCAACAATAGATCCTCCTACAGCAGCCAGCAATAACAGACCCCCAACAGTAGTTACCCCCCCCCAGCAACAATAGACCCCCACAACAGTAAATGCCCCCCAGGGAAATAGATCCCCGAGAGGTAGATCCCCCAACAATAGACCCCCACAACAGTAGATGCTCCTCAGGGACAATAGATCCCCGAGAAGTAGATACCCCCCAACAAAAGACCCCCACAACGGTAGATGCCCCCAGGGACAATAGATCCCCGTGAAGTAGATCCCCCCAGCAACAATAGACCCCCATCAACAGTAAATGCCCCCTGGGACAATAGATCATTGCAGCAACAAGAGATGCCCCTCAGCAACACTTAATCTCTCCCAGGAACAAAAAATGTCCCCAGCAACAATAGATCCTCCTACAGCAGCCAGCAATAACAGACCCCAACCAGTAGTTCCCCCCAGCAACAATAGACCCCCATCAACAGTAGACCCCACCCCAGGGACAATAGATTTCCTAGAAGTATATCCCCCCAGCAACAATAGACCCCCACAACAGTAGATGCCCCTCAGGGACAATAGATCCCCACGAAGTGGATCCCCCCTAGCAACAATAGACCCCCATCAACAGTAGATGCCCCCCGTGACAATAGATCATTGCAGCAACAAGAGATGCCCATCAGCAACACTTGATCTCTCCCAGGAACAAAATATGTCCCCAGCAACAATAGATCCTCCTACAGCAGCCAGCAATAACAGACCCCCAACAATAGTTCCCTCCAGCAACAATAGACCCCCATCAACAGTAGATGCCCCCCAGGGACAATAGATACCCCAGAAGTTTTTCCCCCCAGCAACAATAGACCCCCACAACAGTAGATGCCCCCCCCAGGGACAATAGATCCCCGTGAAGTAGATGCCCCCAGCAACAATAGACCCCCATCAACAGTAAATTCCCCCAGGGACAATAGATCATTGCAGAAACAAGAGATGCCCCTCAGCAACACTTAATCTCTCCCAGGAACAAAAAATATCCCAGCAACAATGGATCCTCCTACAGCAGCCAGCAATAACAGACCCCCAACAGTAGTCCCCCCCAGCAACAATAGACCCCCATCAACAGTAGATCCCCCCAGGGACAATAGATTTCCGAGAAGTAGATCCCCCCAGCAACAATAGACACCCAAAACAGTAGATGCCCCCAGGGACAATAGATTATTGCAGCAAGAAGTGTTGCCCCTAAACAATTGATCCCTCCCCCCCCCCCCCCCAATAAAAAAAAAAGTAAAGGGAGAGAGAGACTCTTTATTAGGTCCACCTTGCTAGTACCGGGTTGGAACCCTTTTGCCTTCATTCTTCATGGCATAGATTCCAAAAGGTGTTGGAAATGTTCCTCAGAGATTTTGATCCATATTGACATGATAGCATCACGCAGTTGCTGGAGATTTGTCGGCTGCACATCCATGAGCTGTGGATACAAGGCAGGAGGGGTCCATGCTTTCATGTTACTTGCAACAAATTCTGACCCCACCATCTGAATGTCGCAGCTGAAATCCAGACTCATCAGACCAGGCAACGTTCTTCCAATCTTCTATTGTCCAGTTTTGGTGACCTGTGTGAATTGTAGCCTCCGTTTCCTGTTCTTAGCTGACAGGAGTGGCACCCGGAGTGGTCTTCTGCTGCTGTAGCCCATCTGCTTCAAGGTTGGACATGCGTTCAGAGATGGTATTCTGCATACCTTGGTTGTAACGAGTGGTTATGAGTTGTGTTGCCTTTCTATCATCTCCAACCAGTCTGCCCCATTCTCCTCTGACCTCAACAAGGCATTTCCCTCCACACAACTGCTGCTCACTGGATATTTTCTCTTTTTCGGACCATTCTCTGTAAATCCTAGAGATGGTTGTGCCTGAAAATCCCAGTAGATCAGCAGTTTTTTAAATACTCAGACCAACCCATCTGGCACCAACAACCATGCCACATTCAAAGTCCCTTAAATCCCCTTTCTTCCCCATTATGATGCTCGGTGTGAACTTCAGCAAGTCGTCTTCACCACAGCCAAAGCTCCTGTGGATTACAGGATTGCACTTCGTTTTTCACTCCCATGACTCGTTTTCAGCCAACACCTAAACTCTGCTGTCAGCTGACGTCACTAAGCCAGTCCAGACTGGAGAAAGATCCCGACTTTAAAGCCAGGATCCACCCAGGTTCCTGGACAGGCAGCTGACTCAGCCTCTGAGAGCGGCAGGGAGAACTGAGCAATCAGTGGTGTTTGATCACTCAGTTCTCACCCTTATGCCAGCCATACATGGGTCGAAATTCGACTGATTTTTTTTATTTTTTTTATTTTTCATCCGAAAATTAGACCTAAAAATAATTGGGCGATTTTTGCTCTGTTAGTGGGTCAATGGCACCGGCCAATTTTTGCTTTTCCTCCCCTTTTTTGGTGATCGGGCATGTTGGAGAATTTGTGAAAAACGACCGATTTTCGACTCAATGATGGCCAAATCGTACAATCATTTTTCCGAAAAGAATATGCGCATGAGCCGTGACCTGGAAAGAACAGAAGTTTCTCCTGTTATATGGGGGGAACTTTATGACTCGGTCGGCCGATTTTCGAAATCATTGATGGCGCCATCGGATTACCGAGCGAACAATGTTTTTGATTTTCGGACGAAAAATCGTCCGGAATTCGACCCATGTATGGCCTGCAGCATTAGAGGTGGCAGGGGACAGGTGCAGCATCTGATCGATACTGCATCCACCTAGGTAAATATAAACTGTATAAAAAAATACATTTAAAAGAATTATGGGATTGTTTTTTTTTTTTTTTTTTAAGCAATGTACCTTATTTTTCGCTCCATAAGACGCACCCAGGTTTTAGAGGAGAAAAACAAGAAAAAAAATATTCTGAACCAATGGACTGCAGACATAGTACAGGAGATGACCAGAGACTGCGGACATAGTACAGGAGATGACCAGAGACTGAGGACACAGTACAGGAGATGACCAGAGACTGCGGACATAGTACAGGAGATGACCAGAGACTGCGGACATAGTACAGGAGATGACCAGAGACTGCGGACATAGTACAGGAGATGACCAGAGACTGCGGACATAGTACAGGAGATGACCAGAGACTGCGGACACAGTACAGGAGATGACCAGAGACTGCGGACGTAGTACAGGAGATGACCAGAGACTGCGGACGTAGTACAGGAGATGACTAGAGACTGCGGATGTACTACAGGAGATGACCAGAGACTGCGGACATAGTACAGGAGATGACCAGAGACTGCGGACACAGTACAGGAGATGACCAGAGACTGCGGACACAGTACAGGAGATGACCAGAGACTGCGGACACAGTACAGGAGATGACCAGAGACTGCGGACACAGTACAGGAGATGACCAGAGACTGCGGACACAGTACAGGGGATGACCAGAGACTGCGGACACAGTACAAGGGATGACCAGAGACTGCGGACATAGTACAGGAGATGACCAGAGACTGCAGACACAGTACAGGGGATGACCAGAGACTGCGGACACAGTACAGGAGATGACCAGAGACTGCGGACACAGTACAGGAGATGACCAGAGACTGCAGACATAGTACAGGGGATGACCAGAGACTGCAGACACGGTCCAGGAGATGACCAGAGACTGCAGACATAGTACAGGGGATGACCAGAGACTGCGGACACGGTACAGGAGATGACCAGAGACTGCGGACACGGTACAGGAGATGATCAGAGACTGCGGACACGGTACAGGAGATGACCAGAGACTGCGGACACGGTACAGGAGATGACCAGAGACTGCGGACACGGTACAGGAGATGACCAGAGACTGCGGACACGGTACAGGAGATGACCAGAGACTGCGGACACGGTACAGGAGATGACCAGAGACTGCGGACACAGTACAGGAGATGACCAGAGACTGCGGACACAGTACAGGAGATGACCAGAGACTACGGACAGTACAGGAGATGATCAGAGACTGCGGACACAGTACAGGAGATGACCAGAGACTGCAGACAGTACAGGCCATGATCAGACACTGCGGACCTTTAGGGAGGGAGGGGGAGCGGGTACCTGAATTTGACAGGTGCCCGCTCCCACTTCCGCAGAGTTCTCCTTCCTAAACTGTGGGCACCCGATTTTGACAGCTGGGTGCCCACTGCGCATGCGCGAGAAGCACTGCGCTTTGTGAATGGCCCAGCATCTTTTGGGAACTGTCATGTGTCCCAGAAGACACCGGACCATTCAGAAAGCGCAGTGCTTCTCGCGCATGCGCAGTGGGCACCTGGCTGTCACAGATGCCGGGGCGGGAAGAAGCCGGCGCAGGAAGACTACAGCGCTGGACCGAGGAACAGGCGAGTTCCTGCCGCAGAGAACAGCTGAGCGGCCGGCCCGGTATTCTGACATGGTGGCGGCGGAATTACCGGACCGGCCGCTTTATATTCGCTCCATAAGACGCACTGACATTTTCCCCCCTTTTTTGGGGGGAAAAAAATGCGTCTTATGGAACTAAAAATACGGTAAATATCAGACTCCTAATCCCTGTACACGATGAGAATATTGGATGAACGATCGTCCATTTTTTTTTTTTTTTTGCATACTAGTCTGATATCGAAAGTGAAGAGGTTACTAAAGTTACAAAAATTCTTGTATGACAGAAATAAAATTTGGTAGTGATGTCATGTATATGTATTGTGTGTATGTGTGTATATATATATATATGTGTGTGTGTGTGTGTGTATATATATGTGTGTATATACAGTGGGGATCGAAAGTTTGGGCACCCCAGCTAAAAATGTGTATTAATGTGCATAAAGAAGCCAAGGAAAGATGGAAAAATCTCCAAAAGGCATCAAATTACAGATTAGACATTCTTATAATATGTCAACAAAAGTTAGATTTTATTTCCATCATTTACACTTTCAAAATAACAGAAAACAAAAAAATGGCGTCTGCAAAAGTTTGGGCACCCTGCAGGATTTATAGCATGCACTGCCCCCTTTGCCAAGCTGAGACCTGCCAGTGTCATGGATTGTTCTCAATCATCGTCTGGGAAGACCAGGTGATGTCAATCTCAAAGGTTTTAAATGCCCAGACTCATCTGACCTTGCCCCAACAATCAGCACCATGGGTTCTTCTAAGCAGTTGTCTAGAAAAGTGAAACTGAAAATAGTTGACGCTCACAAAGCTGGAGAAGGCTATAAGAAGATAGCAAAGCGTTTTCAGATGTCAATATCCTCTGTTCGGAATGTAATTAAGAAATGGCAGTCATCAGGAACAGTGGAAGTTAAAGCAACATCTGGAGGACCAAGAAAAATATCAGACAGAACAGCTCGCAGGATTGTGAGAAAAACAATTCAAAACCCACGTTTGACTGCACGATCCCTCCAGAAAGATCTGGCAGACACTGGAGTTGTGGTACACTATTCCACTATAAAGAGATACTTGTACAAATATGGTCTTCATGGAAGAGTCATCAGAAGAAAACCTCTTCTACGTCCTCACCACAAAAATCATCGTTTGAACTTTGCAAATGAACATATAGACAAGCCTGATGCATTTTGGAAACAAGTTCTGTGGACCGATGAGGTTAAAATTGAACTTTTTGGCCGGAATGAGCAAAGGTACGTTTGGAGAAGGGGCACAGAATTTAATGAAAAGAACCTCTGTCCAACTGTTAAGCATGGGGTTGGATCAATCATGCTTTGGGGTTGTCTTGCAGCCAGTGGCACAGGGAACATCTCCCGAGTAGAAGGAAAAATGGATTCAATAAAATTTCAGCAAATTTTGGATGGTAACTTGATGCCATCTGTGAAAAAGCTGAAGTTAAAGAGAGGATGGCTTCTACAAATGGATAATGATCCTAAACACACCTCGAAATCCACGGGGGATTACATCAAGAGGTGTAAACTGAAGGTTTTGCCATGGCCTTCACAATCTCCTGACCTCAACATAATTGAAAATCTATGGATAGACCTTAAAAGAGCAGTGCGTGACAGACAGCCCAGAAATCTCAAAGAACTGGAAGACATTTGTAAGGAAGAATGGGCAAAGATACCTCAAACAAGAATTGAAAGACTCTTGGCTGGCTACAAAAAGCGTTTACAAGCCGTGATACTTGCCAAAGGGGGCAGTACAAAATATTAACTCTGCAGGGTGCCCAAACTTTTGCAGACGCCATTTTTTTGTTTTCTGTTATCTTGAAAGTGTAAATGATGGAAATAAAATCTAACTTTTGTTGACATATTATAAGAATGTCTAATCTGTAATTTGATGCCTTTTGGAGATTTTTCCATCTTTCCTTGGCTTCTTTATGCACATTAATACAAATTTTTAGCTGGGGTGCCCAAACTTTCGATCCCTACTGTGTGTATATATGTGTGTGTGTGTGTGTATATATATATATATATATATATATATATATATATATATATATATATATATATATATATAGTGAATATGACTGAAATTGTAGCATTTCAAATGTATGGCAATATATTTGGGAAGAATATTTTTAAAATCTATTTCAAATATATTGTTCTTCCATATGGGAGTGCACATGGTGAGAAGCTCTCAGTGAGCAGTGAAATCAGAGGAAGCCATTTCAGTCCAGGAGAGGAGCCGCTACAATTGTACAAGACCGAAGGGAGGATTTAAAGTGACAGCTCAATAAAAATGTTTATAGATTGACAAAATCGAACTACAAAGAGAGCAAACATTAGTTGGGACGCTGCCCGGAGCGTCCTTATAAGTAGACTAATCTGCCAGAATCAATATCCCCGTATGAAAAACAAATTATATTAACATAGATTTTGGAGTTTCCGGAAAAGAGCAACTAAAAAGGTGAGCAGCGGTGTTTATTCTTTATGCGAATGTGAATATGGAACAAACACGCTATCAAGTCGGCGTTATCCCAGTTTTTCAGTAAAGGTGGAAATACGCGTTAAACCTCTATCTGCTCCAGCCCGGCTGTTTGTCACGCCAGTGCGAAGGAGAGGGACTCATTCCGACGCCTACAGCACTTTGCTCTAATGAGCTGCGTTTCCAGATGGCCCTTCGCCGCTCGCCTTCCGCCCGGGCATCTGATGAATGTTTAATAAACTGAGTGCCGTTTCCATTAATTACCGGTACAAAAAGACGTCCAATAAAAACACAGGGGACTTGTCAAAGCCCAGAGCAGTGACTGCCCCCCCCCCCCCCCTCTTTTTTTCTTTTTTCTTTTACATTTCCTTTTTTTTTTGCTTTTTTCCATATTAAATCATACAATCTAATTGTATCTATCTTCCAAATTATAGTAATTTTGGAGTTTGAAATGTTCTTTATATTTTTATATATATATTTTTTTTTAATATTTTATTTATTTTTATTTTAAAAATATATATTTTATTTTAATATATATCTATATGTGTGTGTATATGCGTATGTGTGCGTGTGTGTATGTATGTATATGTATATATGTGTGTGTGTGTGTGTGTGTGTCTGTGTGTTATATTATATATATATATATATATATATATATATATATATCTATATATATTCTATGTGTATATATGTGTGTGTGTATATGGAGATAGATATAGATAGATATATATATATATATATATATATATATATATATAAATAGATTGTTATATTGCCAAAAGTATTGGTCCCGCCCTCCAAGTCATGTGATTCAGGTGTTCCAATCCCCTCCATGGACACAGGAGTATACAATCGAGCCCCTAGGCATGCAGACTGCTTCTACAAACATTGGTGAAAGAATGGGTCGCTCTCAGGAGCTCAGTGACTCCAAGCGTGGTCCCGTGATAGGTGGCCACCTGTGCAATAAGTCCATCCGTGACATTTCCTGGCTACTAAATATTCCACGCTCAGCTGTTAGTGGGATTATAACAAAGTGGAAGCAACTGGGAACAACAGCCACTCAGCCACCAAGTGGTAGGCCACGTCACATGACAGAGCGGGGTCAGCGCATGCTGAAGCGCACAGTGCGCAGAAGTCGCCAACTGTCTGCAGAGTCAATAGCTAAAGACCTCCAAACTTGGTGTGGCCTTCAGATGAGCCCAACAACAGTGTGTAGAGAGCTTCATGGAATGGGTTTCCATGGCCGAGCAGCTGCATCCAAGCCTTTCCATCACCAAGTGCAAAGCATCAGATGCAGCGGTGTAAAGCACGCCGCCACTGGACGCTAGAGCAGAGGAAACGTGTTCTCTGGAGTGACCAATCACGCTTCTCAGTCTGGCAGACCGATGGACGTGTCTGGGTTTGGCAGTTGCCAGGAGAACGGTACTTGCCTGACTACATTGTACCAAGTGTAAAGTTTGGTGGAGGGGGGATTATGGTGTGGGGTTGTTTTTCAACGGTTGGGCTTAGCCCCCTAGTTCCAGTGAAGGGAACTCTTAAGGCGTCAGCA